ACTGTTAATTATAACGGTTGTGATACCTTTATATGGAGTTGACATCATCAGTGGCATGTCAGCTTGGGGCTATAATGTATCTCTTTAATATCAGCATGTTTACTCACAGGATAAGTGGCACCGGGAACGCGAAAAGAAGTTTGAGGATGGGCTGCATCCACAGAGCGAACATACCGCGTCAGAGTGTAGATTTCGAGAAAATAGCTGACACCCATTAACACTATCAGTTCCATCTTTGGCCGAAATTTATTATATTCAAGAATTATTTAACCTACCTTTACTGGAGAATTACATGATGTATGGTATATAAACACAGTGGCAAAGTCACAGTACCTTGGATTAAATAATAAATACTAGTTCCTAATGTAGTTCAAATTGTTGGATGTTTCGGTTCTTTTGTGACATTATCAAGTCTAAACTTGATGATATAGAATGATTTGTAATTGATAAAATTAATAAATAAATGAGTGTAAAAAATTAGAAAGGCGTGTAGGAAAACAGGTATAGTGTTTGTGACAGCAATATTGACTATCACAGGTGTTTGACATGCCTTATTTATTCTCATATCCGCTATTCTTCAGACTGTGAGAAGTAAAGTGTTGCCACACCCCCAGTAATGTGAGGGTGTGGTGCTGCCACACCCCCAGTAATGCGAGGTGTGGTGCTGCCACACCCCCACTAATGTGAGGTGTGGTGCTGCCACACCCCAAGTAATGTGAGAGATGTGCTGCCACACCCCCAGTAATGTGAGATGTGCTGCCAAACCCCCAGTAATATGGAAGGTGTGGTGCTGCCACACCCCTAGTAATGTGAGAGATGTGGTGCTGCCACACACCCAGTCCACTGGCAGTGGTGGCTCCAGTGTTATTAAGCTACACAAATAGTGGTACCTCGCCACACAAGCAACAGTGTTGTCCACGACTGTCTTGTACGCTTATGGACTGTTGAAGTGAAATCGTCATTGTATGTGTGATGAAGAGCGTTACACGATTGTTAAGCTGCAGCTCACTAACCTATGTCAACTAAGACACAAGATGCTGAAAAAGCTTTTGCTTGGACAATTTTTCACTGCAGGTAGTTTTTTCTCAAGTCCTTAGAACGATACGTTGTCAGAATGTTTCTTCAGTATACGTGCCTTTGTTCGCATACCTCCGCTATGCCTCACGAAATCGTAATGACACGATTGCAAACAAACCATACCACGGGTGGGATTTGAGCCCGCGGTCAGAGAGTCTTACGCGACGGTCTGGAGTTTTGAGACTCTCTGACCGCGGGTCCAAACCCGCCCGTGGTATGGTTTCTCCGCTATGCCCTCCACCTTACTACTTTAGTAGTACTTGACACACTCCAGTCTAGCATAACCGTACTCATTTTAAGAAGTCACTTAAAACTCAATCCTCTCGTGTTATCTTGAGAACCAAATTAACTTCATTCACAAACATTCTAACACATGCAGATATCAACACTAAGTATTCTACATTTCTGTTGTGTGTGTGAAATAGAAATCACTTTAATGTTTTGCACACTGGCAACATTTTTTTTTTTGTCCCGTACAACCCATCCTCCGATTTTGTTGTATTGTGTGTATGAAAACACGTGCACGAAATTTCAGTATACGCCCCAGGCTGTCTTTTAATTTTATTATTTGTTTTTAATTTTGTTATAGGTTGGGTAATTATAGGGAAATATAGGTTAATATACGTCAGCTTCACCTAACCGAGAAAAACAAACATTAAAATTTTATTGAAATTTCAAGCATGCAGAAATACGCTAATGACAATTCGTATATAACTGGATGCCTTAATTGGAGGACAGGTTTGTAACCCGTCTTCCACATTCATGAACTAAGATGTAAATGCTACAAACATCTACTTATATTTAGTGTACTTTTAATCTTAACTATGGTTAATAGTTCTAATTCCTGAGATGTTTTCCTTCCGATTTTGTAAGCCTAATCTGAAACTGGGTTGCTGGGGCGATAATACCCAAAGCCATACAGATAATCTTGAGGTGCGAGTTCTCCATGGTGCTACCAGTCGCCTGGTTATGAAGGGGCCTATTATCACTTCCCCCTTCCCCACCACCACCACCCGCGAGGTGCTGTGTGAATGCTTCTGGTGTTACCTGAGGAGGGCGCTGAACTGCACAAAGACAATCTATGCGTATGAACACATGGGTTGCGAAACAAACTTTTATTGGGACAACGTTTCTGTGTCGAGTTTTGTCATATTAATCACCTGATACAAGGTCATGGCTTCATAAAGCTTTATTTAGAGCAGTACGTTGGCTCATTAAAAGCTTCTTGCAACTGGTCTCTCTTCATGCAATATCTGTCGGCAATACGCTAATATACCCGACATCTCTGCGAAGAATTAGACACGTGCAACACTTGGGTATCTTTACTTGTAGACGTTTCGCCATCCAGTGGCTTTATCACTACAAAACATGGACATAATCTAAAGACTAGAAATATATATATATATATATATATATATATATATATATATATATATATATATATATATATATATATATATATAATATATATATATATATATAATATATATATATATATATATATATATAATATATATATATATATATATATATAATATATATATATATATATATATATATATATATATATATATATATATATATATAAATATATATATATATATAATATATATATATATATATATATATATATATATATATATATATGTCGTGCCGAATACGTAAAACTGGTCAATTAGCAAGAACTCATTTAAAATTAAGTCCTTTCTAAAATTTTCTCTTATACGTTTGAAGATACATTTTTTTCATTAATGTTGATGTACAAATTTATAATTTTGCACCAAAAGGAACTTAGAAAACTTACCTAATCTTATTATAACAAGAACAATTTATTTTGGCCTAACCCAACTAAATATATTTTAGATTTGTTTACAATATTTTAATACTAAACAAACACAGTGAAATATATTTTTTTCGTTAGGTTCAGAATGATTTTGGCGAAATTATTGCATACACAAATTTTCACTTGTCCTATATGGCAAGATGAGCGCTGCTATTTAAGCCAAGATCGCAAGTTCTGCCTATTCGGCACGACATATATATATATATATATATAATATATATTATATATAAAATATATATATATAAAATATATATATATAAAATATATATATATATATATATATATATATATATATATATATATATATATATATATATATATATATGTGTGTGTATATATACACAGAAGACAGCGGAAGACAGGTAATCAGTCCCTCAGCCTAGGAGCAGGCGATGAGCTTGAAGAATCTGAAGCACAGGGAGGAAGATTGGTACGTATATAAGGGAGTCAGATGAAATGCAGCAGACGAAGGCATTGTTACTGGTAGGTAGGATTTCCCAGTGGAAGTAGGTCATGTCAAAGAGTTGGGTCGGGAGTTAGCAAGTAGGTGTTGGTGATGTCCTCTGTACCAATATTGCATGATGTTGAACATTAAAATGGTATAAAATACCGACAGGTTGTTAGGTAAGACACATATGCAACAGTTAGGTATCTTTATTTCGAAACGTTTCGCCTACACAGTAGGCTTCTTCAGTCGAGTACAGAAAAGTTGAAGGAAGCAGAAGATACTGTATAAGGCTCCATCCTGTCACTTCATCTCCATATTGTTTCATACCATGGAACAATGCTCTTCTCCAGACTGAGGGACTGACCACCTCAAAACTTTAAGGGTGATGGACTGATTACATCGTCTTCAAGTATCTTCTGCTTCCTTCAACTTTTCTGTACTCGACTGAAGAAGCCTACTGTGTAGGCGAAACGTTTCGAAATAAAGATACCTAACTGTTGCATATGTGTCTTACCATTGCATGATGTTGCTGTGTCTGACAAGTTGTATATCAGTGGTATACAGTACCGACAAGATGAAGAATTAGACACATGTCTAATTCTTCATTATGTTCAGTGTTGTGAGAGATTGTTGAGGTTTGCACTGAGACGTGCTGATAATCTACACGCACGTAATAATGTTAACCAGGGAGAGAGAGGAGGAGCATGGTGCCAAATAAGTTGTTTGGTCAAGCAGAGCTAGCTCTTCCCTCTTAAGAGTTGCAACACATACTCAGGAAATGACTAGTCATCTAAGAAGCCTTGTCCGTGATGCTGCTTCTCGTCCCTTCATACGAACTTCATTGATGCTTGATCCCAGGAATTTAACCTGTCTTCCCCTTCTTTGGATCGAACCTGATTGTCCCTCATTCCTCAGGTGCTGTATGACCCCTACGGACTTAACGATCCTCTGTGAATATAATAGAAATGCTGATGTTTTTTGATTCTCCGCCTACCCTCTTCCTCTCCCTTTTTCTTTTCCTCCTACGTTTATTCTTGTTACATTTGTTGCTCTCTGTTGCTAAACCTGCTGCTCGTGGTATTAATGTTTCTGCTTATTCAGCTGTTTCTGTTGCTTACCCTGCTGCTCGTGGAACTAATGCTGCTGTGCTGCTGCTGCTGCTGCTCCTGCTTCTGCAGTTGTTTCTGTTGCTAAACCTGCTCACGGCATTTGTTTCTGTTGCTGCTGCTACAGCTTGATGCTAAAAACTTGCTGCTCTTGGTATTTCTGGTGTTGGTGCTGCTACAGCTGTTGCTGATTATCCTGTTTTTCCTTTCCTCATCCATCCTCAGGATTGCGTTTGTTCTGTTTTTAGAATATAGATGTGTATGATGAAGGTGCAAATGTGTTGTATTCTTGTGAGGCTACATTGTGTTGTGATAATTGTACAAATATATTGTGATGTTACAAATACGGTGAGAGAGGGTAGTTATCAAGTTATTTTCTCTAAATTATTCGCCCCATGTTTCTATAGATGTTTGTATAGATTACCATTTTGAATGTATATAATATTTGCATTAAGTATTTATATAGGTATGTAGTGGTGGTAAATAGTTAAGATTTAGTCGAAAGGGTGATTTTTATTTTTTGTAGGCGTGATCACTGCCGCCGTGAAACTAGTGAAATGAAAGCCAGTGTTCCACAAAACGTCGGCTTGAGACTTTGTGGTTATATCGGAGACAGTGGTACCAGTGTGTAGATGTGGAACATTGAGAAAGCCAGTCAGATGGTATAGGTTTGCCCCCTCCGCACGTCCCAATACCGGCACACCACCCTAGGCGCTCTCAAAACTTACAGTAGCCTCAGAGGGAGAATCTGGGCCACACCCGCCGGTGACGCGGGCGGGTGTGGGTGTGAATTGTGGCTGGACGGGACACAGGGGATGGTGGGGGCCCTTCAGAAGTGCTGGAGCTCGGTGCCTGGCCCCCATGAAGAATATGTGTTGCTGCTGGGCCCCCCAGAACAAGGAACAGGTAAGTCACACACATTATCGTTACTTCTCTTTGACACTTAGCCTAAACACCGACTTGACATCATTGTCCTTTTGCCGATAACATGTGGAGTTCCCCAAGGTAGTATTCTGGGTCCCTTACTATTCTCATGTTATGTCAATGATATGCCTATCAGTGTCAAGTGCAAACTCCTACTGTATGCAGATGACAATGCTCTGTTAGTGACAGGTAAAGACCCACAAGATATTGCTAATGTTTTAACACTGGAACTGGAGTCCTGCAGCAAATGGTTAGTAGACAACAAACTATCATTACACCTAGGGAAAACTGAAGCCATTCTCTTTGGAACGAAACATAAACTGAGAAGGGTAAATAATTTTAATGTTCAGTGTAATGGGGAGTCCATCACTTTGGTTTCATCAGTTAAATATCTGGGAATCCCCTTTGACCATGCATGTCAGGAGAATTGATAGGGACAGTGTAGTAAAGAAAGCGAATGCCAGGCTGAAGTTCCTGTATAGACAAGCACAGTGTCTACCTACTGAGGCTCGCAGGACCCTATGTCTAGCCCTTATACAATGCCATATTGATTACGCTTGCTCTTCTTGGTACTCTGCCTTGACAAAAAAACTGAAAGATAGACTGCAAATCACCCAGAACAAAATCGTAAGATTCATCCTGGGGCTGGGCCCAAGAGAACATGTAGGCCAGGATGAATTACAGCAGTTGGATATGCTGAATGTTGAAGACAGAGTAAAACAACTGAAGCTAAATCATGTTTATAAAATTGCTCACAAACAGTGTCCAGAATATCTTGCTGTCAATTTTGTCAAGGTTGGGAACCAAAGCAATCATAGTACTAGGGGGAGAGAGCACAACTTTGTAGTACCCACAGTCAGTGGCCAGGCTTCAAACACCTTTTATTGTACAGCAATAAAGGAATGGAACAGACTACCCACAAATGTCAAGGCCAGTCATAGCTTGAACCAGTTCAAGAAGACTGCCAAAAAGTGTCTGATGAATGAAGCAACAGAAAGGGAGGGGAATGATTTTCTATTTTTTAGCTAAAATACGTGTAAATTTTACCTTATCCCTAGTAATGACCCTCGTATTGTAGATAGTCGTAATGACCCTCGGGTAGTAGATAGTCTTAATGACCCTCGTATTGTAGATAGTCTTAATGACCCTCGTGTAGTAGATAGTCTTTTTAGTATGATAATAAGATGTTATCTTCATTATAGAATAATAAGAAAATATTATAACCTTTATATTATAATAATAAGGTAAAAGGACCCCAATGGAAATAAGTCACTCTGTCTGACTTTTTTGGGTTATCCTAGGTTCTCTACACATATGCTGCTATGTATGATAATTCTATGTAACTGTATTGTGTATACCTGAATAAATTTACTTACTACTTACTTACTTACTTACTTACTTACTTGTAGGATGTTGGAAACTTTTTTTCAAAATTCAACACAAAACCCTTGCCGACTCCACTTGTAATACTGCAACAGTTAGGCATAGCAAGCATCGTGACAGTGATTGATATTAAATGTAAAGTAAGTTTCTCCACGGATTTTGCAATGGCATTTGACAAATGGAACCATGGATTAATAGCTCATAAAATGAAGTCAATACGTATAGCCGGAAAAAGAGGAAATTGAATATTCAGGTATATAGAAAATAGATCACAAGAGCTGTGGGACGCAAAACTAAGTCCAGTACCCTAAGTCACGGTCCTAGCACTAATATAGTTTTTCATTTTCATAGCAGACATAGACAAAAACACAAACCATAGTTGCATATTATCCTTTGCAGACTACGAAAAGCATGAAACTTTTCAGTTAGACAAAATAAGCAAACAAATATCAGTGAAGGCATCCTATGAAGACAAAAATAATATATTTAATTATGATAATCTTCACCTACTTAGATATGGAAGGAATGAAGACCCTAAAACGAGAAGTATACAGAACCTAGGTAGACCATGGCATAGAACGTAAGGAACAGGTAAGAGACTTATGTCAGACGATCTGTCGTTTGGAAAATTAAATAAAGCAAATGCAACCAAGGCCACGATTATAACAAGGTGATTGAAGAACAGGTATAGTGATACCGACAGTATGTAGATATAGGAAATACATTACGTATGTATACATGTGCACACGTTTATATATATATATATATATATATATATATATATATATATATATATATATATATATATTATATATATATATATATATATATATATGCGCCGAATAAGTAAAACTGGTTGTCAGTATAGCTACTGAATTCCCTATACTTATCCTTGTGTAGTATATTATAGATCGTATCATCCATGTATATATTTAGGCTCCCTTTTAGTAGGCTCAGTGGCTAGCTAGTGTGACGTCACGTGATGCATCATGTGAGTGCTGGGCTCCCGGCCTCCCTCTCAGTTCTCCACGCTTAGGTCTACAGGCAACGCAGGCAGTCTGGGCCTCTCCCTCCCACACTCTGCTAATATAAGTGTTACCATCCAACGACTGTGTTTAACTCCAACCATCACATATCTACGAACCCTCCCGACAAGCGGTGCGGCTGTATCCAGCCTGTCTTAAGTACCAGCCTTGTGTGCTAAGCCAGCTTTCCACCCCTGCTGTGCTCATCATTACAAGTTCTCAAGCCAGTCTGTGTTAAGGGTTAAGCCAGGCAAGCCACGTGAGTTCCAGCCTTCACCATCGCTTGTGCTCCAAGTTCCAAGCCATCCTGAGTGCTTGTACCATCCCTGTGGTGTTGTGGTATTTTGTGGGTTTTTAAGCCAGCCAGGCTTAGAATATTCTCGTGCCTAGTGTGTGTGTACCCAGAGCACGTGGGTTGCGCCGCTCATCCCATAGGCCCATGCAGAGTCTCAGCGCGCTGCCTCAACCACCCACACCTTCCACCACAACCACTGCTTTTTTTTTTTTTTTTTTTTACCTTTGTAACGGGTCCTAGCACCTTATTTTACGGACCAAATAGGGGTCAAGACGCAAGATTGTTCCTTCGTCCCAGTGCGCCAACGTAAAAGCCTCCTGTGTGCATTTATCATCGATTTAAGTGCAAATTCTTCGAGACGTCAACGTGTTGAGACTCAGACCTCCACCACCACCATCCAGCTTCCTCTTCACCATCAATGTTTATAGACATTTGCGAGTGTTGAGACTTTTTTTTTTTTTTTTCTCAGTGATTTCTTAGTGACATTTCTTTTTCAGTGCTTTCTTGGTGACATTCAGTGACTCTTGATTAGACTGTGTTCATTATATCCTGTTTGAAATATTTTTTTTCTCTTTCTTCAGTGTTTAGTTTTCGTGCTTTATTTTTATGTTCCCGACATGGTCAGTTAGCAAGAACTCATTTAAAATTAAGTCCTTTGTAGAATTTTCTCTTATACATTTAAAGATATATTTTTTTTCATTTATGTTAATATAAAAATTAATTTGTACCAAGAGAACCTGAAGAAACTTACCTACCCTTATTATAACAAGCGCAATTTAATTTAGCCTAATCCAACTAAATATATTTTATATAAGTTTACAATAATTTAATAAACATAATGAAATATATTTTTTTCGTTAGATTCAGAATGATTATTACATACACAAATTTTCGCTTGTCCAATTCGGCAAGAAGTGCATTGCTATTTAAGCCAAAATCGCAACTTTTACTTATTTGGCACGAGAGAGAGAGAGAGAGAGACGGACATATATAATGATTCACGTCTCCGTAAGTCATCAGAAGTAGTAACAGGAGGAATGAGAGGAAGTTTTCTCAGAATAAGGTAGAGAGGAACTAGCTGACGTCACCACGCTACTTCTGAGAACACTTCCTCTTATTCCTCTTGTGGCTACTCTTGCAACATTGCATATCTTCTGATGATACACGGAGACATGTGAAAGATCTTGAGCTGAAGATTTCCATTTCCTCTTGGCTTGCATTGTTAAGATGCATGTCTGCGATTTTTTTTGTATTTATATATATATATATATATATATATATATAATATATATTATATATATATATATATATTAAAATATTATATATATATATATATATATGTTATATATATATATATATATATATATTATATATATTATATATAATATATATATATATATATATTATATATATATATATATATATATATATATATATATATATATATTATATATATATATATATATATATATAATATATATATTCTCTCATATATATATATATATATGAGAGAGAGAGGTCAGATGAGCATAAGTTAAAAGTGAGATAACTTATTAAAGGACATACTGAGAAATTGTTAAAAATGTTGTGTAAATAGGTTTCCTGCAGTGCTCTATGATGCAGCTTCGTATCCTCAAATACTAACCAGGTCCTACTCCCACCCAGAGGAGGTAATAGGTATAACGTTGCTGGCTGGTATAATCTAACTGCAGGATCAGGGATAGTGCTAGTGACTGCTATTATGTCAGCCTCTAAACACTGTCGACGGTGTAGGTCATTTTCATGTTCATTTGGCTTCAAATTTCCTGAGGTAGCTTTGCTTGTTCCTGTATAGAACACATTGTTCTAGTAGTCACTGTTGCATACATTTTTGTATTCACGTACACACTTTTCCAGAGATTAGAGTAGATAAACTCTCGAAACTCTTCAGAGGTATATCAAAGATATTTCTGTTTCTCTCACAAACATCCTGTCACTCCCTTCATGAGGTTTGATAAAGACTTGAACTGGTGATTGCATTGTCGTTTGTTTGCTCCGTGCTAAATCTGACAGTTGACGAGGAATTTGTAACTATTTTAAACTGACTGTCTCTCATTATCAGGAATTAGTTGCTGACAGGAAACACCAACCAATTATGTATTTCTGCCTGTTAGCAACGCAATATCCAACGTATCACTGACACGGAGCCTCATTGGAAATATTTTCTGGTGCAACATTTCAGATCAGCGTTGTCGAAATATGTTTACCTTTTGTCAGAGAATAAGAAACTACGGTATATC